CATCGCTGGCTGAAGCAATCCCGTGGGGCTTCTGGGAGGAGGCTGCCCTGCCGATGCGCTTTGAAAGCACGTAGGATTTAGAAGCACGGAGAAGCGTGAGAGCAGGAGCAGTCACACACACGCGCCTCGGGGGTTTACGCAGCGGGGTTCTGGTCGGGCTGTGTGGCCTGGAGGAAGCGCTCAACTTCTCTGTGCCTCAGTTTCCTCGTTCGCAAAAATGAAGGTAATGGTATCCACCACGTGGGTGATTGTGGGATTCAATGACTGCTAAGGCCCATTTGCACACAGTAAGTAGTACTCAGGACACGAATAAACTCTGGCCCCCCGCGCACCCTCGTTGCTGGGGAGCACGCTCAGGAGGTAGTAAGAACCAACATTGATTGAAATAGGCCAGGCCCATAGCAAGAATCCGCAAACCACCCATTTTGCAGATTAGGACACTGAGGCTCTGAAGCCGGGCAGTGCTTGCTCAATGAGGAGGAACAGGGCCGGGCTCGGTTCTGGCTGAATCCACAGCCGGGGCTCTCCGCGCCCCCTCTGTTCCGGGGAGCTCACACCGTAGGGTTCCCAGGAAACACCGCAGGGCCCAGTGGCTTCTGGAGGGGCAACTCTGGCCATCGAGAGCAACGCCAGGGTCAAAGAGAGAATGGGACACAGGCAGAGGGAGGTCACGGCAGGTCTCAAATTCTCTTGCGGGAAGGAGGAGGTTCCTGGAAGGGGGAAGCGCTTGGGCAAAGGAAAAGAGGCGGGAAGCCAGCACACTGGTGCAACCTTTGAAGCCCAGAGAAGGGAGGACACTTGCCCAAGCACACGCAGCCCTCCTGAGGCAGCCGGGGGGACTCCGTGGGAGGGGAGCCAGGGGCTGTTGCCAGCTGGACCCCACACCCTCGGAGCCTTGTTTCCAGCAGGGTTGTGAGGGTGGGATAGGGCTTCCCGATGCCAAGACCTCATGGGCTCCGGCCATCTGTGGGACCTCAGCACCCCTAGCTGGGGTGAAGGCCCCTGAGGGGCAGAGCCCAGGGAGGCTGGAGGGGCGGGTCCCGGCCTTCCCAGCCCAGAGCCAGGCTTCCCCATCAGAGACGCTTTGCTGCCCCCTGGTGGCTCCAAAAGATTCTAATTTCCCTTCCTACGGGATGCTTCCCACAGGTCAGATCAGCACCCACCCTCCTTGTGACCCGCAGCTGTATCCAAACCAACCTGGAGGTCCTCCCTCCTTCCCCAATGTCCCGCCACCACCGACCTGCACACAAAGGTGTCATATTGAAAATCACAGGGTTTGAGCCTGGCTGGGCCGCACTCCAGCTATGACCTTGAGTGGGTTCGGTCACCTTCCTGTGCCTCAGTTTCCCCATCTTTAGAACGGGGGTGATAATAATGGTTTCTGCTTCATAAGGACCTTTGTGAACATTAAAGAAGCAAATGCATAGAGAGCACTTGGTAAAGGGACGTCTGGGTGGCTCAGTCAGCTGAGCGTCCGCCTTCAGCTCAGGTCATGGTCTCACAATCCGTGGGTTCGAGCCCCGCGTCGGGCTCTGTGCTGACAGCTCAGGGCCTGGAGCCTGCTTCGGATTCTGGGTCTCCCTCTCTCTCTCTGCCTCTCACTCATTCACACTCTGTCTCAGTCCCTCAAAAATGAATAAAGGTTAAAAATTTTTGTTTTTAACAAAAAGCACTCGGTAAAGACTGGTGATATTGTCCTTGCCTACCCAGGCCTGAGGTCCCCCTCCTCCCGAGCGGGTCCCCCAGGGAGGAAAGCCCTGAGGGGGTTCCGCATGACGGGATTCCCTTAGAGACCCAAGTTTTGCGTCCTTGCTATTATCGCCCACGCCATGTGATGTAGAAAGAGGCGCCTCACAGCAGAGCCAGCCTCGAGGAGAGACCGGATTAGCTGGAATTACAAATTCAACTCAGAAAGGGTTTATTGGCCAGGGCTGCGGGGAGTCACAGGGAGCAGGAGGGCTTCCTGTAGGAGGCGGCTGCACCATCCATGAGCCCAGAGGCCCCTCGGCCACCTGCCGGTGTGTCTGTCCGGAGGAGGGGCCCTCAGCTCTGACCCAGCTGGGCTTTCAGGGCCTGCAGCCCTTGACTGTTGATGTTGTTGCCTCCACACACAATGACCACGACCGAGGCCAGGGAGGGGCTCAGGCGGCCCTCAGCCTGGAGCCTCCCCAGGAGGCCTGAGTAGATGACAGCCAGAGCTGCCCCGCAGGCAGGCTCCACCAGCATGCGCTCGTCGTCTGCCCGGAGGAGGGGACGGGGGTGGATGAGAAGAGAGAAAGGGAGGAGGAACCAGTCAGTGCTCAGGAGGCTCTGGGCACTGCAAATCCATGAAGCCGGCCAGCCAGCCATCTCGCAATCCATCATTTGCCTGACCCCCTCTCCATCCATCAATCTGACCGTCTATCCATCCATCCATCCACCTTTCATCTATCTATCCATCCATCCATCCCTCTATCCATCACGGGACTGTCTGTCTGTCCATCTATCAGCGTATCCATCAGTCAACGGATCCATCCATCTATCCATCCATTCATCCATCATCCCCTCTCCATCACGGGACTGTCTGTCTGTCCATCCATTAGTGTATCTATCAATCAATGTACCCATCCATCCATCCGTCCGTCCATCTATCCATCCATGCATTCATCCATCCATCCCCCTATCCATCATTGGACTGTCTGTCCATCCGTCAATGTGTCCATTAATCAACGTGTCCATCCATCCATCTATCCACCCACCCACCCATCCAGCCATTATCTACCTTTCCACTCACTCATCCATTCACCCATTCATTCAACAAATATTTATTGAGGGCCCACTCCCTGCCAGGCCCTATGCTAGGAAGGCTCTGGGGACACAACAGTACACAGGACACAGCAGGCCCCACCCTCACGGGGGCTACATCTAGTGCTGTGGATGAATAAGGACCAGGCAGGTATGAACAGACAAACTGGTGCCTGGGACATCTCTAACCCCGGCAGGATGTGGGTGGGAGACCGGAGGAGGAGGCTGCCCGGAGCAGGTGCCATGATGATTGAGTAGCCCTGAGTCACACGAAATCGACAGGGGCCAGGGATGAGCGGCCGGAAGGAAGAAGGTACACATGGAAGCCTGGAGGCTAGAGACGGCCCGGCACACGCCTCTTCCGTGCACTCAACGTGCAGTTATTTGGTAAGCACCGTGGCAGGCACTGAGGATACAGACAAGAGAGAACACGCTACCTCTAGGGGCCCAGGGACCTCATGAGTCTCCGAGCCTGGGGAGGGAGGGCAAGGCTCACTCACCCAGGAACTTCTGCACGGCACTCACGGCCTGGGCGTCGTCCACTACCTCAGAGAAGATCTCCAGCTCCTTCGTGCACTCCAGGGCCCTCCTGGCCACAGTCTTGGCACCCAGGCTCTTGGCCACACTGCAGGAGGGGGCAGGCAGGACAGGGAGCGCAGGGGTGTGGGGAAGAGCTGGTGAATCCTCGGACCTCCGCCTTCGCAGACCCAGCTCTCCAAGCCCCAGGGCCCCCTCCCATCCAGCCATGAGCCACGGCTCAGCCCTGTAAGAGGCTAGCACAGCACTGGCCCAGAGGACGTGCTCAACGATTGGGTGTCCCACGAATGGCGGACAAATGCACCTCACTCCCTCCCACTCGATAACCATGAGTGTGCCCTTCCTTTGCACGGACCCCAGAAACCCAAACACAGAAATGGGTTGGTTTTTTTTGTGCATCTTATTCATTAATAACTATTTATCACGTCTGCACGATAACTAATACTTGCTGAGTATCTGCAGGGTGATAGATGCATTTTCTCTTTCAATTCTCATGATCACCCCTTGAGTTAGAAATTTATGAACTCTTGGGGCGCCCGGGGGGCTCAGTTGGTTGAGCGTCCGACTTCGGCTCGGGTCATGATCTCACGGCTCGTGAGTTCGAGCCCCGCGTCGGGCTCTGTGCTGCCAGCTCGGAGCCTGGAGCCCGCTTTGGATTCCGTGTCTCCCTCTCTCTCTGCCCCTTCCCCTCTTGCACTCAGTCTCTTGCTCGCAAAAATAAATGAACATTAAAAAAAATTTGTTTAAAGAAAGAAATTTATGAACTCCCTTTTACAGAGAGGATATTGAGGCTCAGGGGGAATAAGTAACTGATTCCAGGGCACGCAGTGAGTCAGTAGCAGAACGTGGATTCAGATCCAGGCAGTCTGGCTCCAAGGTCCTTGCTTCTTATCTCTGTGCTTGGGATCACCTACCTGCTGGCACTTTCCCGAGCTGGGCAGTTTGCCTCAGGCCCAGGAGAGACTTTGCCGAGTCCATCACAGCTGGGTCTGCGTCCCGAGGGGCCCAGAGCATAGACTCGGGAGCCAGGCTGCCTGGTTTGAAACCTTGGCTCTGAGCTAGCAGTGTGACCTTGGGAAAGTCACTTCACCTCTCTGAGCCTCAGTATCCTCAATCCGAAAAATGCAGATAATCATGAGATTGTCCTGGGGACGGACTTCGAACATTTCAAGGGCCTAGAAGAGAGCCTGGCATTTCACTAAATGTGAGTTCTACAGAAGGCTTAGTGGTGGTTATTATCATCGCCATTGCCAAGAATAAAGCCAACAGCAACAAGAGAGAAGTGGTCTCATGACTACAAAGACCCACTAGTGGTTGCCAGAGGGGAGGGGGCTGGGGGGATGGGCGAAACAGGCGAAGAAGAGGAAGAGGTACAAACTTCCAGTTACGAAATTAACAAGCCAAGGGGATGAAGAGGACAGCATGGGGAACCGAGTCAACGATATGGTAATAGCTTTGTGTGGTGACAGATGGCGACAACACTCATGGCGGCCAGCGCAGCGTGATGTATAGGCTTCCCGGGTCGCTACGAGGTACGCCGGAAATGAATAGAGTATTATAGGTCAACTATATGCTGGGTGGCAACTGCCTGGCTGAGCCACGGAGGATTTCATCAATGCAAGAAGGGCTGGTATTTCAGGTGGAAAGGACAAGAAAGGCTCAGAGATTAGAGGCACAAATAATTTCCAGGAAAAAAGCAGTACAGAGATGCTGGAGGGTGGGCGGGGCCAGAAAGGAGGAGAGATGGTAACCAGAAAGACAAGAAGGAGACTCATCATATATCCGGATAGAATTCTCTCTCTTTTTTTTTTAATTTAATTTAAGTTTTTCAATTTTTCTAATGTTTATTTATTCTTGAGAGAGAGATCACAAGCCAGGGAGGGACAGAGGGAGAGGGAGACACAGAATCTGAAGCGGGCTCCAGGCTCCGAGCTGTCAGTCAACACAGAGCCCAATGCAGGACTCGAACTCATGAACCGCGAGATCCTGACCTGAGCTGAAGTCGGACATTTAACTGACTGACCCACCCAGGCATTCCTAATTTATTTTTTAAAATATTTTTAATG